AACTCTATGCATAGTTTTTCATAATATACATTTCCACGGACTTTCGGAAGATCCTTTGTGTTGTCTCTTGTATGTTTACTCTCCATTAAAGACAACAAAGATTTAAGAAAACACTGCTACTTATACCAAGAAAATTCCATTATATGGAGCAGAATTCATTTTTTATAAACTATCAAAGCTGGTACCATGACAATTTTAATGAATCCAACAATTATAAAAATATTAAATGCTAGGACATCAAAATCAGTAAGACAGTTACTTTGAAATATTTATAAACCAAACCTTGCAACCTTAGCCTATTTGTCATCATAATCTATTTTATATTAGTTTAGGTGCCAGCTCATTTTCTCGGAACTCATATCTATTTCCTCAACCCTCGTATCTGTTTTCTCACCATGTTGCTCCAATTACTTGATCAAAACAGGTCTGCCACACTAAGGCTAGAATCATATTAAAGTCCTAAGCCAGAGAAGTTATCTCAGTATCTGAGGGACATTCCTTTCATTAGTGCCTCACATCTGTCCTCTGGTTTACTCTGACTTTTATTCATTCACTTAAAGCAACGTTACAAAACTACCAGGTGGCACGCCTTGTGCTAGGCATGGGAGATATAATGGTACACAAAATAAACTTGCCCATGACCTCATGAAGAGCAGTCTACCACGAAACATCCACTGAAAGATAATCTCATTAAAAAATTATAAATTGCTGTAAGTGCTGAGTAACGAAAGTAATGACAGCTACGGTTTAAATGTGTCTCCCAAAAGTTCATATGTTTCAACCTGGTTGTACTATAAAGGTATTAAGAGAAAACTTAATCTGATTATGGTGTTGACAGGTGGGGCCTTTGGGAAGTGATTAGGCACCCAGATGAAGAACCCACGATTGCCTCCTAGGAGGTTTACAAGGAGAAGGAAAGAGAGAAAAATGCACAGACACAGACATATGCCCTCCTGCTCCACGCTCCCTGGCCATGAGACCACCAGCTGAAAGTCTTCACCAGATCTTGCCCCTGGATTGGACCTTCAAACCAAGAACTGAATAAACCTTTATTATAAATACCCTCTTTGGAGTATTTTCTGTTTTAGCAATAATACAGACACCACAAATGTATAACAGGGATACTTATCTCCTCTGAAGACTCAGAACAAGTTCTGAGAGTAAAATCTGACTCACGATGTGAAGGATGGTGACAGGGAGAGTTCCAGGCAGAAGAAACAGCACAGGTTCCATTTCGGTTATGTTGGATCCACCTCTGCTATCTCCTGGCATTTTTCTCTGACTTTTTTTTTAATCTCCCTACCAATCCTGACCCTTCTAATTCTCACAATAACAAGACTTTAATATTTATTGAGAAAATACTACTTTGAAGATACCATTCTCCATAGTTTACATATATTAACTTATCTGATCTTCACAGAAACTATATGAGGTAGGTTCTATTTCCACATTTTACAAATAAATCTGAGGCACAGCTACTTATACTAGTACTGTATGTCCATCCTCTCCCTCAAAACTTATCATCTTAGAGAATGGCCCCAGGATGCCAAACCAAATTAGTACTACTACTGGGAAGAAAAAAAAAAAATCAAGTCTCACATACCCTCCTAACTTGTACTATTTTACATTAGGTATGATTATATTTACTTTCTCCACCTTTCAGAATTAAGAACAAAAAACTTACTAATGTAGCCTTGAGTAAAACATCTCCAGAAGCAAGAAAGATGTTTTTGGAATAACTAATACAGTCTTACAAAAAGCTATTCACCCAGACTATGAAATAAGGAAAACTAAGCTAGGAGAAAAAATTACAATTTATATAATTCTTCTGTACCTTCGGAAAGACAGGAAAACATTTCTTTTCTTAAAAATTAAAACTAGTAAAAATTTTGAATATTTTTGCAAAATTATCTAGGATACTGTGTTTTCTTTAGGTAAGCATCTTTCAGATATTAAGAAGAAAGAAACAACTATAGAATGCCCTAGAGCTAACTAAATCTAAAAATATTTTTAGATAATTTTTTTAAGTCCCCATTATTATCAAAAGTTCCATTTGTAAATTCACCATTGAAGGTGATGTGGAAAAGAGTAATTAAGTGGGTGATTGATATCAAGTGAGCATATGACTCATAGTTTGCAAAGGAAAATGATTTTGGGGAAAAAGGCTCAGAAAGAAGAGAAGCAAATAATGGATTCTAGATGAAATGAAGACCTTTCCTGTCCAAGTACTGTCACCAGTTCTTTATTACTTGAAGATTAAGGGAATAGTGAATAAAGCTGTCTGGCAGACAGCAGAAAAGGTAAGAAATGGCATTGTCTCTAAGTGTAGCTCCTATGAAAGTTCTCTAAAATAACATTCATAAAATTAAACTTTCTATAAAAAGTTACTGGAAAACCCAACCCAAATCAGAACAATGGAATGTCAAAATAAACCAATATTACATTTGTCAGGAACTTGAACAAAATGAAATAGTGGTATAGGTCATGTTCTAGAATTGTCTAGTTTTATTCTATTTGGTTTTAGAGAAAAGGTTGATACAATACCGGTTTATCAAGAGACTTGATGGAGTTTCTTTCATTTGTCTATTGTTAGTTTTTCTACTCCATAGGTGGTGCAAAATAAATATTTGGTTTTGTTACTAGGGTTCACTAAACTGACACAATGTGCTTTTTTAATCCAGAAGATACATTCAAGTCACTGAATTCAGTTCCACTTTTTTACTGCCTGTACCCTCTCACATGTGTGTGTGTGCGTGTGTCTCACATCTACTTAAGTACACTTTTCAAAATTCATGCTTAAATATGTATCTTAATTGCTATCCCTGAGTGATGAATCATTTAAGAGAATTTAATTGTGATCAAGTATTGATAGTATGCTGTTTGACAGAAAGTTTTACCCAACTTTTTGATTTACATTTTCATGGACATTTTGGTGACAGTATTGAGCTAGATTTTTTTTTTCTGCCGTGATCCAGAGAGAGGGAGAAACAAAGCCAGAACCATCAAAAGGGTCTTGACACTACCACCCATCCCAGCGTCAGCCAGTCCCAGACCACAGGCACAAGGATACCTGACATCCTCAAGTCTCCAGACTTGAACTGGCAACCTTCCCACATAAGTCAGTCTTGTAGAGTGTCATGTTTTACCACCACCATCTATAGCCCAGCCCACTGAGCTAGATGCTGTATACACATGAACTCATTTACAAATGCTGAGTTCATTTGGTTCTATACATATAGTATCTAAAGAGAGGGTAGGCTACATTTTTATAATGAAGCAACCCATGTCATTTCACTGGTGGTTTCTGTACGAGCAATATCCAGCCATTCTAATATATCTTAGAACTAAGTTTCTCAAATTGCCTGATACAATTTGAAGTCATCTCAAGAAAAACAGAGTTGTGTGTACTATGCATATGGATACATACACATTCTAAATGAGATTCAAAAGTAGGCAATACAGTTCCAGAATCTATACTCTTAACAACTAAGGGTCATATTTCTGAAGTCAGTACACTAGAAATATTAGCATTAAGTTATGAACAGACATTTGAAGAAAATTTAGTAGGATAAAGTATTTTTTGGGTGTGTTTGAATGTATGCAATTGCTAGAGTTTCTAGCTTTTTATTGAATATGATACTGCCTAACATTTTTATAATCTTTTTATGGATTCTAAAGCATTTTATCAAAATTTAAGTTAATTCTGTTGACAATGTTACAAGGTAAGTATACTGGTTAATTCTGCATTGGTTTGGCTAGGCTGTGGTGTCCAGATATTTGGTCAAATATTATTTTTCATTTTTCTATGAAGGTGTTTTTTGACTGAGATTCACATTGAAGTTGATGGACTTTCAATAAATCAGATGATTCTCCATATTTTGGATGGTCCTTCTCCCACACATGGCAGACTGTGGATCGAGCCTCGTGCCTAGTGACTTGTTTTCTCTCTCCCTTTCTCTCTTTTTCAGTCTCTCTCTGTCTAGTAAGCACATGTTCCCTATAGCAAATTAAACAATAATAATAATAAACATGATTAATTAAAAAAAAACATAAACTGACCCTCTATTATAATAAGAAGGAATCCTGCCAGCAGACTGATGCTTTTGAACTTAAGTTGCAACTTTTCCCTGACCCCCACCCTGACTCCCAGCCTGCCATTCACTCTGCCAATACTCCAAAACTGCCAATTCCTTAAAATAAATTTCTCTCTCTCTCCCTCTACACATACATACATACATACACATACACACACACACACACACACACACACACACACACACACCCTGTTGGTCTTATTTTCTAGAGAACTCTCAGTAATACAGCATAATAGTTGAAAACTAAGGCTAACGATACAAGAAACAGGAATGAAGATTCATATCTTTTCCTTGGTCACTCTTCACAAGATTAAAATTAAGAATCTCAAGAGGCTATACTGGAATTCAGTTTTCACACCCTAACCACTCAGCAGTATAACATTCTTTGGTAACTCTAATCAACTCTGGGAAACAGTCTGACACATCTTCAAATAGTTAAGCATAAAAGACTTCTACTTCCAGGTACAGACCCAATAGAAGTGAAATCGTATGTCCACACAAAAACGTGTACACAAATGTTCAGAGCATCACTACTCATTCACAATAGTCACAAAATGGACACAATATAAATGTCCATTTGAAAAGATGTCTAGAAAAAGAAGGCAGAGACAAAAGGCCATGCATTATATAAATCCATTCATATGAAATGTACAGAATAAGCAAGTTCATAGAAATGAAAAATAGATGAGTGGTTGTCAGGGGCTAGGAAGGAAGACAATGAGAGATGAATGCTAATGTTAGGACGTACCCAATTGGAGGGATGAAAATGTGCATGAATTAGACAGTAGTAATAACTGTACAACCTTGTAAATGTGTGAAACACTACTAAAGGGTACACTTTAAAATGTTGACTATTATGATAAGTACATTTCATTGTAAAAAAAGGTTTAAAAGTAAAAAACTCACCTGCCCTTTTTGGGGTGCCAAACAACGAACAACTTCATCCACCATCACTGGGATATGTAGTTGAGCCACACCTTCAGAACCTCTACTTTGACATCTGTGTAACTCCTGAGCTCCAGTATGATCTGGTTGCTCCTGGGCCTCACATTCATTATATTTTCCTGATGTAGTATGTATACTTTTTGGCCAGGCACCTAAGTTAAGTATGCCAGAGTCCAACCAGCATGAAAGAAATTCTTTATATAGTCTACGAGAATATGCGTATCGAAGCATTCTGTACACCAAAAAATCTAGAAAAAAAATTTAAATATGAAAATTGTTGAATTTGTTTTAAAGAATGTCATAATACTTGAAGGAAAGCAGATTAACATACAATATTTAGCATAAAAAAGTAAGACTCTTCATCTGAACATTTTAAACAAATGAAGATGACTAACTTCTTTACATTAAAAAAGGAACCAACAAGAACTCAGAAATGACTTAAATCCAAGAATAATGTAAGTACTTTTTTAATGTGACCTGGTAAATTCTAAGACTGTTAATTTTTCAACCATCAGGGATATAAACATGGATTATTTAGTCATCATTTTTCTGAAATACAGTTTTAAAAACATTTTTAACCAAGTCTAAACAGTGGATTCAATGAGTTAAAACTATTTTTTAAAAGCTGTCTGGATGACTGAAAGGAGTATAAGTGTTATGCATTTTAGATTCAGGTGGTGTTTTATTTCAAGCTCTTCCATTTGTTTTTCTCTTAATGCTAAATTCTGGCCTGCAGTTTAACTTTGTTAGCGAGAACATCCCTAGAAAAAGATTATGCTTGTACATCCAAAAAGAAAGGGAGATGACCAGTCTATGAAAACCTTGAATATTTGTGATGCATATTTTCTAGTAAGATCATCTTCCCAGAATCAGTAAATATCGAAATACACCATCACTTTATAGACACTTGACTAAGCATATTTTGGCATTCTGTATCCATCTCTGTTTTGTCTGCCTGTCCCCTATAACCAAAAAATAACAAGCAACTCACTGACATTCCTTGAACTTCTCATACTTTCACCATTTTCTTTTGTAGTCTGTAACTTCAAAATGCAGAAGAAAAAACTATTTGTATAATATCTTAATAGAAGAACTGCTGTAAACACTATGCTTTCTTCTTGGTTGATTTAAGCAACATTTTTCATACCACCATAGACATAGTCAGTTAACAATGCTTTTCTTTCCTCATGGATTATGAGTTATTTAAGAATAAGGCTGGGCCACTTCCATGGCCTAGTGTTTAAGGTTGCCAGATCCAACATAGCCTACTGCAAGGTTCAAATCTCCACTATGGTAGCTTGAAAAACATGCTCTATGTGCGTGAGAATATGCGTATCGAAGCATTCTGTACACCAAAAAATCTAGAAAAAAAATTTAAATATGAAAATTGTTGAATTTGTTTTAAAGAATGTCATAATACTTGAAGGAAAGCAGATTAACATACAATATTTAGCATAAAAAAGTAAGACTCTTCATCTGAACATTTTAAACAAATGAAGATGACTAACTTCTTTACATTAAAAAAGGAACCAACAAGAACTCAGAAATGACTTAAATCCAAGAATAATGTAAGTACTTTTTTAATGTGACCTGGTAAATTCTAAGACTGTTAATTTTTCAACCATCAGGGATATAAACATGGATTATTTAGTCATCATTTTTCTGAAATACAGTTTTAAAAACATTTTTAACCAAGTCTAAACAGTGGATTCAATGAGTTAAAACTATTTTTTAAAAGCTGTCTGGATGACTGAAAGGAGTATAAGTGTTATGCATTTTAGATTCAGGTGGTGTTTTATTTCAAGCTCTTCCATTTGTTTTTCTCTTAATGCTAAATTCTGGCCTGCAGTTTAACTTTGTTAGCGAGAACATCCCTAGAAAAAGATTATGCTTGTACATCCAAAAAGAAAGGGAGATGACCAGTCTATGAAAACCTTGAATATTTGTGATGCATATTTTCTAGTAAGATCATCTTCCCAGAATCAGTAAATATCGAAATACACCATCACTTTATAGACACTTGACTAAGCATATTTTGGCATTCTGTATCCATCTCTGTTTTGTCTGCCTGTCCCCTATAACCAAAAAATAACAAGCAACTCACTGACATTCCTTGAACTTCTCATACTTTCACCATTTTCTTTTGTAGTCTGTAACTTCAAAATGCAGAAGAAAAAACTATTTGTATAATATCTTAATAGAAGAACTGCTGTAAACACTATGCTTTCTTCTTGGTTGATTTAAGCAACATTTTTCATACCACCATAGACATAGTCAGTTAACAATGCTTTTCTTTCCTCATGGATTATGAGTTATTTAAGAATAAGGCTGGGCCACTTCCATGGCCTAGTGTTTAAGGTTGCCAGATCCAACATAGCCTACTGCAAGGTTCAAATCTCCACTATGGTAGCTTGAAAAACATGCTCTATGTGCGTGTGTGTGTGTGTGTATGCTCAAAAATCCCAATAGGATAGAGAGAGAGAGAAGGGATTGTGACCTGACCATGCACCATGAGGGATGCTTTCTTGTTCTCCCTCTGTAAAGAATTTTTTAAAAAGGAGGCCCACACCCTCCTATCCTATGAAATTATATAAAATGTAGGTGCTGAAGGCAAAAGAAGACTGACTACTCCATGGGAGCTGAGAACTCGTGCTTTCAGGGAATAAGAGAAATTAAAAGTTTTCTACAGAGAATTCACCCTCCAGATCCCATTCTTGAGTGGTAGAGCCACCTGAATCCTTCTCTCTGTCTCTCTGTCTCCTTCTGTCCCCCCATCTTTCTCTGCCTTTTCATTTTTTCTTTATTTTTTTTCATTTTTTTAAGGTAAAGTATTTTCTTGTCTCTCAGATCCTCATTTATCTTGCTAATAATCTCCTCCCCCTGAGCCCATTTAGGAGAGGCAAAAGGGCAAAAGAAGACTGACTCTTCCATGGGAGCTGAGAACTAGTGAGCATATCACACAGTTTTCACTTTTTGCTTTAAAAATAAGTAAATAATTTTTTTGTTTTATTCTCTTTTATTTTCTCATTTTATTTCTCGCTCTATTTTTTCCTTCACTTACTGTTTTCTTAACCATTTTCTTTTACCTCATCATTTTGCTGCTCTGCCTACATGCACTGAGTGTCTATATAGGTCTAAGTGAACATCTGAATACTACTAGAGTCAACATATTCCTCAATACCCACTGAATCTGCTGCACAAAGGGAAAAAATGGAACAGCAAAGAGATTGCAAATCACTTCCTCCTGCATGCCCCTGAATGCTCAGATTGAACTTCTAGAAATTAGGAAGAAAAGTATAACCCATCAGATGACTAGAAATCACTGCAGGGGCACAAGAAATATGAGAAACCAAGAAAATACCTCTCCCTCAAGGGAAAAGTATAACTCTTCTTCATCCACAGACAGTACAATGGAACTCATAGAAATGTCTGATAAAGAATTTAGAATATTCATAGGAACAAAGCTGACAGAGATTCAAGAGAAGAGAGACAATGAACTCCAGAAGAGGCAGGAAAAAAGAGCCAATGAGTCCAGGAGATGAGGAAGTTCTTGCATGATCTGAAATAAGTAATACATACCGTAAAAAAAGTCAACTGGAACTGTTGGAGATGAAGGCTATAATACAGGAAGTCATAATCTCCCTTGAAAGTATTAAATTAAGCAGACTAGATCATACAGAAAATCAAATCTCAGCTATAGAAGACAGAATTGCTTCACTAGAAAAACCCACTACAAAGACTGAAAAAAATAGCCCCCAAAAATGAGAGTAATATACAAGAAACACTATATACCATAAACATCCAAACATCAGATAATCAGAATCCCAGAAGGTGAAGAGACCAATAAGAGCTTTGATAATCTATTCCATGAAATCCTGGAAGAAAACTGTCCAAACCTAGAGAGTCATTCAAAGATCCAGACCCAAAAAATACAAAAGACCCCAAATAGAATAAACAAGAAGATCTCCAAGACACGTTATAGCTAGATTGAGCAAAACCACAAAGACAATATTTTAAGATTGGCAAGAGAGAAATGTCAAGTTAACTACAAAAGATATCCCATCAGGCTAACAGTGGACCTCTCATCCCAAACAATGTAAGCAAGGAAAGAATGGGAAAATATATTTAAAGTGTTGAGCAAACAACAATTTCAACCAAGAATACTATACCCAGCAAGATTATCCTTCATATGGGAAAAGAAGACAAGAACATTCTCAGATAAACAAAACCTGAAAGCATTTACCAACACCAGACCAGTTCTCCAAGAAGTTGTGAAGGGAGTGCTATCTCAGGAAAATTAAAGTCAGGCACACAGAAATAAGAGTTGAAAAACAACTAAGAAAATAGCCAGCTTAATGGTAGGGACAAGTCTGGAGTTGAATGTCATCTTCTAGAATTTAAACTGAGAGATAAGACCACAATGGAAGATAGATTAAGTACATGAAACTGAACTGGTGAAATAGAATTTTATGGCTGTCTAAAACTTCACTGATCTTCTTCTATGCTTTGTTTACCAGAGTTAGGGATTTTTGTCTTAAGTTGTCAACAGGTCCATGTACCTACTATTTGAAAAGAACCTAAACTGTTTTCTGCCTGTAAGTCTTAAGCAAAGTTCTCTTAACATTTTTTGATATGGATTTATTAAAGCTAAAACTGCCTGTCTTGAAGTTGAAAAAGATATTAAAAATACCTATTTAATGACTACAGTAAGCTATATAGCCTCAGCTAGGTGCTACTTTATAGTACATTCATTCTGCACACAGAATTTCATGCCTAAAATCAAACATGTGTTCACAGATATGGGTATGTCAGTTGAACCTACTATTGAAAGTAGTTAAATTAAGATATTTTTTGAATTAATAAAATGGGGGGGGGGAGGAATGGAAAGCAACTGCAGAAACCAGAGATATTGTGGGAGGAAGGTGGGAAATGGCAGAGAATGAGAAATGGTGGTTAAAATATATGTACGTGTGTTTGTGTGTGTGTGTGTGTGTATATATATAAATATATATATATACTGAACAAGAAATGGGATATTATTTGTTGACAATAACATGAATGATTAAGGCACTATACAGTGTATTCTGGAGAAGAAATTGCATATTGTATGCTGTGATTAATTAATATAAAATTATTAATATGTAATTATTAATATATAATTAATTAAAAATAAAACTTAGGTGCTTAATAGGCATGTTCTGGGGAAAATAAAAATGAGTAGATAGATAAATCCTGACTCCACAGAATCAACAAATATTCTTTTTTATTGTCTTTTATTTTTGTTTTGTTTTGTTTTGTTATAGGCCATGTGACAGAGAGAGAAAGAAAAGTGAAATATCAGCCCCTATGGGGTATGGCCATGCCATAATCCCTTATCTTCCAGTCCCCCCACAGGATTTTGGGCATACGCACACACACACCTGCATGACTTTTAAGCTGCCAGGTCCAAAATTCAAACCTCACAGTTGGCCATGTAAGATCCAGCCACCTTAAGTACCATGCTACCAGATGGCCCAGTCTTTTCAACTTCTTTCACGTTGCAGCCTCTTTGCAGATGTAATTAATGTGATTACTCTCCCAGTAAAATTATAAATATATATAGAGAGACTTTTCCAGGATCACAATGTTTAAGGAGCATCTGAACCCCATCATTTCACCCACCAGGTGGAGATAGCATTGGAGAGAAAGTTTCTTGCAATGGGGCATGGTCATGTCACAATCCTTCCTTCATTTCCTCATCCTTTCTGAATTTGGGTCACACATGCACATGTATTTGGCCTGATTTTCAAACTGCCAGGGCCAGGGTTCAAACCATACAGTCAGCCATGTGAGATCTGTCTCCCTGAACCACCAGACCATAGAGCCAGCTCCAAAATGAACCATTTTATAAATCTTCATTTTAGGAAATTTCATCTGCTTGACGGACCCCACAAAAAACCCATATGTTTTCAAAATACTTCAAGTACTACAAATCTCAGTTAAATGTCTTTTTTTTTCCTTTTACAACAGAAAATGAAAAGTAATGTTGAAAAGCTGATCACATGTAATGTCTACAGAAAGAAACACAAATATAATATTACATAAATATAACATCAACAACATGTTACCTTAAGGTAATATGTCAACTTTACCAAAGACATAATCCACAGAGTGATAGAGCAAATGTGATACCGGAAAAAATATGGTGCAAAAAAAAAAGTATACATGAATGCTTTAAATAAATTTTTAGATTTTTCAGCAGTAACTAATTAACCAAATTATTAATCATGCCTTTCGATTTCCAGAAAGCTTATTGAAAGTAAACGTAACTATCCTTTCAGTGTTTTTAACATTTTTCAAGGCACTGGCTAATATTTATTCACTTCTTACTAAGCACATTGCGTGTACCATTAGGTTGTCAGAAAAGTCATGATGTATTTTTCTGTTTTTCTATGCAAAAATGTGTCATGACTTTTCCCACCACCCAAATCACTTCTATACAATCCTTACCACGACTCTTGAAGGGTAGGTATTATTACTCTCACTTTACAAATAAGGAAAACAGTAATTTATCAAGGTCACATAACTGAAGAACCATAAAGCTAGCATTATAACATAAGCATTCTAGCCTCAAAGCATGAGATCTTAATCCCCACGCTATAAACACAGACGAAAAAACTATTTAAAGCACTTATGTGACTTATTTGTACTTTATTCTTTTTTTCTTTGTTTTTTTGGGGGGGGTTTTTTCGTTGTTGGTTTTTTGTTGTTTTTGTTTTTGGGGGTTTTTTTGGTTTTTTTTTTTGAGAAACCAGTATCCTATGGCTTGACCCTGCTTCAATTGGAAATAGCATCATGCTGTGGGTTAAAGAACATACAATGTTTGGGCTTAAATAGTGGCAGCTGGAATATTTTAACAACCTATAGTGTATGTTCAGATAATTAAAAATTCTTTAAAAGCATCAATTCTGATATAGGAATCACCCCACACCAAAAATGGCAAATAAAGATTAGATGGAAAAGAATCCACTACCAGTATTCAATTCTTCTCTACTGTATTCTGTTTCTAGGCATTTATTCAACCATGTTCAAGACACAAAGGCTGAGATTTTATTATGAGATATTGACTACTAACTTGAGTTAACGTGAAGAAAAGGCCACAAATAATGCATTTTCTTTCACCATTGTTTCCTGGACTATCATCCTGAAAAAATGGAACAGGACAAACTCCACAGGGATTTCTTTCCTTCTCTTTAGTCAGTCTCCTACAACTCAGGATCCTCCCACAGCTACCCTCAAGGATTTAAAATTGTTCAAATTCCTCTTGGTCACAGGAAGGAAGCAGGGAGTGAGGAAACCTGGCCTCTGGAGATGACCGGTTTCCACGGTACGTCATTTAACTTTTCTTTATAAACCAAGTCCAGTTTACGCCGTGGTCAGACAGGTTCGTCTTTCAATGGCGGGAACACAAAACTCAGTGTTGTCTGTTTAGAGGGCTTCCTCGCAAGTGCTAGCAATTACCATGATCGCAGTTTCCCCTCTGCAAATAATTCCTGCTTGAAAAGTTCATCTTAAAAGCCAAAAACACGACTCGAACGCTGGCACCCCAAGGCAGAGAAAGTGAAAGAGGTTCTAAGGGAAGAATCCACCCTTTTGTCTAAGAACTATACTCGGACGAGGGAAAACTGGGAACTTTTAAAGCTGGTTTGAAAGCGTGTAAAGGAGTGAGCTGGAGCAGGGGCGTTTCCTTGGCCCCGGAGGAAGACGGGGTCCCCGGCAGCACCCTCACAGGGTGGAGGTTTGTGGAAGAGCTCCCGGACTCAGTCACCTTCTCCTCACCTGAGGCTCGATGATTTCTCCGTTGGCCTCTACCTTGGGCCAGAGACGACCACTACGGTACTGGAAAATTTGAATTTGCCGCACGTCAAGGTCCCAGCCCTGGGGGAAACTTGCGAGAACGGACAAATTGGGCCCACGTCCGCCCCAGCAACCGAGGACTGTTGGACTTTGGTTCCGCTATTTCCAGCCCTTGCTTCAAAATCTCTTGCAGACGCTGGAGTTTCCAAATGACTTTCCTGGGAGAATAAATAACACCTCACCATTGCCTTGTTTAAATTTACTTTGGGTACTTTTTTTAAATGTCGGGGGTAACTTTAAATCTAACTTTCCATTTCATCCTTAATTCTAGTCTTTTTGATTTACCATAAACATACTTGTGTTCTAATAACACAGCAGGTATACTCCAATTTCTAACAAAAGGAATTTCTGCCACCTTAGCTTTAAATGTTTAGAAAGTTTTGATTCTTTTGTTGCTAATGCCTTACCAGACTAGTCAACTGGCACATTAATGGCATTGTCATGTCAAAATATCTCTACTTTAAGCAAAGGTACAATTCCTTAAAAATGTGGACCTCTTCGTCTGAATTGTGTTAAAGAGCAAATGTAATGCAGAATTTAAAATTAAATGTGGGCAATTGCATTAAGCATGGAAACACCTGTGAAAATGAAAGATTTGTACAAATGTGGTATCAAAAAAGACAAAATTGAAAACACTTCTATTTACCTGTTCACTAGTGGCTAATAGTTTTAGAAGAATTTGGCAAGACAGTCATATTTTCAAACTAGATTAACTTATTATCTTAAAGTCACTTAATCTAGAAAAGAGTTTATAGAAATGGCTTAATTGTAAATTGGTTTGCCGGTATGGTTCAAGATATATTTTTAAGCATTTTCTGAAAACTTCAGTTTTCTCTACGCAAAATGAAGCTAACAGTATCCACATCTCATGAGCTGTTTTGAAAGTTAAAGAACCTGTAAAATTATAAATAAAATGACTGGTACGTCAAAGGTAAGGTATTATCGAGTGCATATTGGAAATAAAATGCTTCTCAATTTTATTACCAAATCCAGCATCACAGAGATATATAGCCAAGGTACATGTTCTACATCTAGTAATCAGTAGTACCTTTATTAATGCCTACTCAGTGTTTAGAAAGATGATATAATATGAATTATATAAAAGATACAATGCTCCGGATTTTCTCCAAGAAATAGTTTTTCACATATTGTCTCATTTATACTCTGTATTGACACTGTGCCACTTATTTATATAGTGATAATTTTAAGAATATAGACTGTAAGATAGTAAAGATTTTGACTCTATGGTGTACTACAAGATGGTAAAGATTTTGACTCTATGGTGCACTACTGTTTTTGTAATATCTGCAGCTAGTAATTACTGAATGGAAAAATGCAATAATAGCAGTATAAAGAATGATGAAATTCAGATCATACTGCTAAAATTATCTTAAGACATAAAGACGAACTATCTAAGCAAACCTATTTCCCATTTTTTCTCCGATATTTTTCTACGTAAAGTGTACATTTTGAAATCATACCTATAACCTGGGATTTTAAAAAGTCACATTCCCAATAATGAATTAGGTCAATCTCTTTAAATGAATTTATTTCATAATGCCATCCTTAGACGAAACTGTAAAACACCAAACAGTTTCACAGTCACACTAATGTTGTAGGCCTGGCAGTCCTGAGAAGTGAAGCCTGGGGGCCTCAAACCAGAAGCCCTGACCTTCCAGCGAATTCAGATGAGCCCCCTCCCCCCGCCCGGGGCCCCAGCGGATGGAGTTGGAACAGCTCTCTATACCTCCCAGAAGAGAGACCTATGCCTTGCAGGCCACACTTGTCAAGAAAGAGAACAGGAGGTAAGAAACACCCAGAACCTACTATTCCCGCCCAAGATGCTCGTCTCTCTCCTGAGCAGTGGGCACCTGCCACCCCCCGCCCGCGCCCCCTCACTCACACCCTGAACCCCCCTGCAGCGCCGGCCTGGCCCCGCCCACCTCGGCCACCGCCTCGGGAGAGAACGGTGCGCGTTGCCACGGTGACGCACGTAAAGCCCCGTCCTCCGCGCCGCGCGGTTGATCCTCCAGGCTTTGACTGCCACGCGCCGCGGCAACGTCCGGCGTGATGACGTCACTGAGGCGGCAGCCAATGAGACCAGGCGCTGAGGAAGCTGGCTTCGGTTTGAATCTTGTGGCTGCGTTTGTAGCGCCGGGAGGCGGACATTGAAGTGGAGGAATCGCCGAGAGCTCTACCCGGCCGGCGGTGAGTGAGAGGCACGCGCGGAGAGAAGTCTGTTCCCTGGGACGCCCCTTTTAATGACTTGTCTTCCAGCGAGCGGAGGGTCGCGCTGCCTAGTTCTGGAGGACTCGGCCTGTTGACAAACACAGACGCGTGGCGGTGGGGAGAGGGGCCTGGGGTCAGGGTGCCGGGGAAAGGGAAGGTGGGAAGGGACCTAGGGAAGGCCGAGAGCTTGGCTGTGCCTGATCGTTGCCTTTGACCGCTCAGCGGGCAAAGCAGGCATCTCCTGCCTTAAGTTCTGAGAGGAAGTCGGAAGCTTTAAAGGGTATCTTGGCCCTTTTCCAGAGTTTGGCAGGGGACTTTAATTGTCCAGCGTCCTGCCCTGTGAACTCCCTTCCATCACTCCAGATTCAGAGTGTTGAGTTGGGGACGCAGGTGTCAGGGTACCTTTTGCACTTACCTATCACACAAAGAGCTTTAGTTCATCACCACGAAACACTGTCTGGCGAGGCCCTGCAGGTCACCTGGCATGGTCAGTGGAGCACTTACCCCATGTCCAATTGTAGCATCAAGAGGCGCCCTGATTGTCCAAGGGCACTGCCGAGGAAGGACCAGGAGACACCACTGGGCAAAGTGCTCCGCAAATGAAAGGGACTGTGGACACCGAGACTCGGTGCTTCTGCAGCCAGATCTTGTTTGTGCAAAACTTTCCTTGAGGAGCCCGTCAGCCGATGTGTTATAGAGAGGCCATGACGGACTATAGTTTACTATGTGAGAACAGATTATTTGACCCAAACGGACCGATTTCCTTGTATAATGTACAGTTTAGGTTACCCATTATGAACAGTGAGTAGAATGTGTTAGGCGATCTATGATTTTAGCGGTGTCATTCCACCACGTCTAGCATCCCACCTTAGGAATGGAGAGGTCTTTATGAACTTCAGTGTTAGAGAACATGAAATCCAAAGACTAGATAGGGCTTATGACATTCATATCATTTTGTAAGAACTGTCTATTTCAGTAAAAAAATTGTCTGCCCTTAAAAGTAGTAACTGATTTCCTCTTAGTTACCGAACAAGCGCATAAAACATGTCTTATTTCAAGTGCATCTTGTTCCACTGTAGATATGTCCTGAATCAAGGAACACAATAAATGCCTTTAATACTGTTAACTATGAAAACCAAAAAAAAACAGGCCACCTGTCAGTGCCACCCTTCCCTCCATTTGAACTTCTCATTCTTTCCTGATGTTTGTAAGTTAGTGGAAGCAGTGACTCTAAGTTATTCCAAAGAGAGGCTTAAGTTGGATGGAGACAATAAATGATAGTGTCAAAGATCGCTCTCGGACCTAAAGCGTTTGTTGAATCTAATTCAGATTTGAGTTTGTATTTAAGAGATACTTAATAACTACACCTGTTCCATTGTTTGGTTCCAGTAGAGCCTAGTTTAACACATGAACTTCTCCTTTGAACCTGCGTCTACATTCTGTCTCACCATTTACTATGTTATCTTGGGAAAATTATTTGTAAGATAAAGTCTGTTTTCGTTAAACGGATACGATAATGGAACCAACCTTATGTGATTCTTATAAGCACTGAATGAGATAGTGAATATCATATATGTGGTTATTATAAGGATTGAATGAGATGATGAATCATGTTTACCATCATATCTGGCACATAGAGTGGGCTCAAATGAGAATCACTATTACTGGTTATTACCATTTTGACCTAATCTAAGCATTCTGAATCAATATATATTTGCTAAGATCGCTTCCATGTGATATCTAACAGGTACAGGAAAATCATAATTTTATTTTGACATTCACTTCGGAGCTTCTGTGCTAGGCCCTGAGGTTTCCATCAGAACAGTAGAATGGTGGTTAGCAAGAGCTGAGGGTTGAGGGAAATGACAGATGTAGGTCAAAGGGTATAGACTTTACATTACCAGGTAAACAAGTTCATGAGATCTAATATACCACATGGCTCATGATATATGTATTTGTGAAAATAGTTATATGTTGTACACTAATATCAAATCGAATCAAACATCTCGAATATTTATATAACATAAAATATTTTAATAATTTTTAAAAAGTAATCAAATATGTATTATTAGCTTATACGAGAAAATTTCTAAGGATTATCAAGATAAGTGATAATTACATACTTGGCTTCAGATTGAGTCAGTGTGAGTTCAAATCCCAGGTTTTGTGCTTCCTTTCAGTAGTGTGTAACTTTAGCCAGATAACTTTAACCTCTCTGTACTACACTTTCTCCACCTATAAAATAATGATAATACTTATATCAGTGTTGTTAAGAGGATTAAATGAGCAGTATGTAATTTGTTTAGCACATTTCTATTTGTAGCATAAGAGTTCAGTAGAAAATATTTTATAATTATAACTTACTGTTATTAGACAAGATGCTAAGGTCATAATTAAGGTAAATTATAGTAGTTTTTTAATATATATAAAAATTTCTAGGGAACCAGCAGTTAGCGTAATGGCTATGTCGCTGGACTCCCACGTAGTCAACTGCGGTTTGCGTCCTGGACCCAGTGGCTTAAAACTCACGCCGGGCACGTGTGCGTGCGTGCCCAACATCCCGAGAGGAGAATGGAGGAGAAGGGATTGCGGCGTGACCATCCCCTCTGGGGGGTGATTTCTCGCTTTCTGTCTCTATGTCTCTCTCTGCTTGGCAAGCACTCGCACCCTATAGCGAAAACCTCTCCAAACGAAAAAAAAAATTTCTAATTCTTGTTTAAAATCCCAAAAGGGTATAAAATGTAAAGTAAGACTACTTCTCACCCAGACTTCCCTATTTCCTTTCTATGGGGCAACTGACGTTATTTTTTTCTTGTGTACCCTTCCTGAAAGAGCCCAGGCATATTTGTGTATATATATATATCAATATACATATATACACGAAAAATATTTACAATGGATCTTTAACAAGTTCACATAGAGCCGGCATATGGCATGATGGTTAAGGCACTGGATTCTAACATGGCTGATTGCAGTGTGAGTCCCATACCCTGCCTCTAAAATCACACCAGGTCTGTGTTCGTATATGCCCAAAATCACAAGAAGAGAATGAAATAGGAGGGATTACAGTGTGGCCATACCCCCTGGGGAGTGCTTTCTCATTTTCCCTCTCTGGTCTCTCTCTGGCGAGCACAGGTACCCTGTGGCAAAAACGTTGGGGTGGGGGTAAACAATCACCCTTGTTGGCCTGAACTTGTGATCTTCCTGAGTATCCAGCCCAGCTGAAATTATAGGTACATGCCACTGTGGTTGTCCTGCACTTAATGTCTTGACAAATCTACATTAGTTCATTCATTCATTTTATTCAAGAAGTTTAAACTGAGTCCCAAATATTTGACAAGCACTGTTCCAGGTGCTGCTCTCACTGTATATATTCTAGAGGGAGAACAAGCAATAAATATATATTTCCCAATTAGAGCTAATGTCCCAGGAAAAAATAAAGCTGGTAAGGGAAAACAAGAATGACAGGATTTTGGATAGATTTTTTTTTAGTGAAAGCCTCTGCAAAGCAGCAGCATTTGAGCTGAGACCTGAATAATAAATTGAGAGATTAAGATTTGCAAATATCTGGTGATAAAACCTTCCAGGCACAGGTAAGAGAAAGTAAGAGGGCTAGCAGGTCAAAACAAAGCTGAAGTGTTTTACAAAGGCTGAGAAAGCCCCTGTGGCCAAAGCAGAATAATCAGGAGACCCACATTAGAAGGGATCAGAAAATAGATGGGCCACATGTAGAAATTACAGGCGATGGTAAAGCATTTTTGTTTGTTTGTTTCTTTAAGAGTTATTTTATTTAACTTCATTTATTTATTTTAATTTGATCAGAGTGAGAGAGAAAGGGAGAAAGCGAGCCACCAGGTCCCACACCCAAACCGCTGTCAGCCATGTGAGAGTCCAGCGCCCTTAACCACCATGACACCTGCCAGCCTCAAAGCATTTGTACTTTATTCTTATGCCGTGACGTCATTAGAGTTGAGAGCAAGGGAAAGACGAGATGCATAACATGATCTGATTGCTATTGAAGAAAGTGTCAGTACATACAATCAATGAGTTAAATAAAATTTATTATTGTACTTCCATGTAATTGGGGTTGAGTTTTTATTGGCTTGCATTTTATCTGGACTGAGCAGTAATCACATATATTAGAAGTAAAGGATTTACCTGTTATCTTGAAACTACTGAAGAAAATTAGGTTTTGTTTTTTGTTTTAGTTTGCAATAGAGTGCATGAGCTTGCCTGCGAAGGAGGAGTGGAGGGGTGGAGAGAAAGAAAGCACCCCCCAGAAGAGCTGGCCATAATACAATCCCTTCTCCATTCTCCTCTCAGGATTTTGAGCAGGCTCAGACACACACACACACCCTAGCATGTTTTTCAAAACACTGGGTCTAGAACTAGAACCATGCAGTTGGCTGTGCGGGATCCAGCTGCCAACCACCATACCACCAGCTGGCACAAGAATTAAATTTTAAGACCTTTTCAATAAACATTGCAGAGGAATAAGCTATTTTATATAACAGAATCTTCCAAAAAATTAAGTATTAGCTTTCTTCAGTACTGAAGTATTTTAACCACATTCAATGAAAATAATAAAACATGATCTTCCCATTTCCCAAATTTTGCAAGCAAGAAACTGGGCACATTCTTTAACCTGTGTTGATGCTCTAGGGTCCTAACTATGATTGCCTATTAGTTGTCAGTCATATCTACTGTGATAGGCTGTTTCTCATAGAGAAATACAGTGTTTGTCTGCCTCTACTCTGTATGAGTAAATTGCTTTTTGGATTCTGTGTGCATATTTTCAGTTATTCATTCATTATTCATATATTTGAGAACTTACTATATCCCAAACTCTCTGTCAAAGACTGGGGAAATATAACAAAAATAGTCCCAAGCTGTCATTTTTTATCAGTCTCATGTACTCTTTTCTAATTCACAATCATAAAATTTTGGAGCTTGAAAAGGATCTTAGATACCCTGTCTCC